CTAAACAAAAAGTAAGAGGAACATGCTGAGCCACAATAGATGTTTTCCTTAAGTATATAATACCTTGTTGGTTTGCACTCAATTCTTTTTCCAAAAAGGTTAGCGGCTCTAGTAGTAGATGCATGGTTGTTCCTAAGTTCATAGATGCTCCATGTTTTGCTAAGCTATCAGCTACGCTGTTCTGCTCCCTGTATGTACGCATGATGTGCGGGCTACCCAGCTGCCGTAGCAAGTATCTGCATTCAGACATTAGTGATGAGTGATGCATGTTATCGTTTTTTAACATAAAAAGTACCTTAGTGGAGGCAACATAGATTTCCAGCGGTAAGAGTTGATGTTGCCATGCAATAATTTTTTAAAAATTGATAGGTTTAATTTTTCTATTTTAATTTTTATCTTCTATTTAAAAATAATTTTACAACTTTTGTTGGAGTTTTTTCCTAAAAATTTAAACTTGACATATTATAGTGATGGCACTTGGCATAGAATTCATCGAAATATTATCAAATCTTTGTCTACTATTCAAAATTGTTCAATTGTTTGAATTTATCAATAATTTTTTAGGTGATGTTTATTTAAATTGTGTGTTTTTAATTAATTTAAATTATATCCCAACATTATATTTATTTTCTCTTTTTTGTATATTTTTTCTACGACTATATTTGATTTGTTTTCTCATTTAGTATTTTACTTATAATTAAAATACCTTTATTTTTTAATAAATTAGAATTTTAAATTCATTAAAAGTATAAAGAGAGAATCCTTTTATTATTTTGTTCAAAAGTCTAAAGATAAAAGCCTTCAATTTGTCTATATTTATAATAATACTACTGCAATATTATTTACTGATTTATAATTTTATCTTAATTTTTTTGTATTAAATTTTTTTCGTGAATAATTGTAAAATTTATCATGTGGCTTTGTAGTATCTTGATATTTGGCTTAATTTTATGAATAAAACCGTAAGGGTTACTAAGAATATAAACAAAATAAACTGAAAAGAAGAGAAAACCCCTAGAGATGCGTTTAGGTTAAAGTTTCGAATTTACAACCACTTTGATTCAAAAGTATAACTAACATTTATTTTTATATTTTAAAAATCAATGTCAACAATCTGGAATTTTTTGGCTATAAAGGAGTAGTAGTTCAAATATGTTAGTTTAATTAAAAAAAATTAGCTTAAATAGGTAATATAAAAAATTTGATAACTTCTAAAAAACCCTGCCTTTGAATTTGAATTTAAAAATAAATAAATAACTAATTATTAACTAACCTAACTAATGTATAAAAGAATCCCCCCTTTAAGCTAAAATTTCCCCAAATCAACACATTGTCATAACCAATTTAGCAAGAAAAAATGACATTGTATAGTCGCTCTTAAAATAATAGAGAAAAAATGAATATTTTTGTATATATACATTATGTATGTTATATAAAAAAATTATATATTTTTCAGCTATCGAGTGTAAATAGTTTCTGACATGAGCTAAAAGTAAAAAAAATATATTCAGCTATACCGAACGACATTGGTATACCCCACTCATTATTACTAACAAACACTTAGTAGAACATGCCGTATGAGCCTTCATTTTTTCACCAACTGATCCCTCAATTTCCTTTTAGCTACACATGTCATAAAATATTAATAAATCTTCAGAGCATTTATATCTATACCCGCTTTTTGAGTCACGTTTTAACTTGTGTCTGGTTTGCAAAAAAAGTTGCAAGCGTACACACTTTTTCCGCGTAACTTCAACATACGGGGCTAAAATAGCAAAGACAATCATGCAAAACTTCAGCATTCTAGTAGACGGGCCTGAAGTAGCAAAGACAATACGAACTTCAGCAGAAGATACTGAAGTTATTTAGTTAATTTGTAAAAACTTCAGCACTAAATAAGCTGAAGTTTTTTTGTCCTTGATCCATTAGTTTTGTCATAAAGCTTTTTCAAAAACTTCAGCAGAAGATGCTGAAGTTATTTGGTTCATTTGTAAAAACTTTCGCACTAAATAAGCTGAAGTTTTTTTTTGTCCTGGATTCATTAGTTTTGTCATAAAGCTTTTTCAAAAACTTCAGCAGAAGATGCTGAAGTTATTTAGTTCATTTGTAAAAACTTCAGCACTAAATAAGCTGAAGTTTTTTTGTCCTGAATTCATTAGTTTTGTCATAAAGCTTTTTCAAAAACTTCAGCAGAAGATGCTGAAGTTATTTAGTTCATTTGTAAAAACTTCAGCACTAAATAAGCTGAAGTTTTTTTGTCCTGGATTCATTAGTTTTGTCATAAAGCTTTTTCAAAAACTTCAGCAGAAGATGCTGAAGTTATTTAGTTCATTTGTAAAAACTTCAGCACTATATAAGCTGAAGTTTTTGAAAAAGCTTTCTAACATACTAGATAAATAATCACCTTATTCTTTCATAGTGTATTACTACTATAAAATAATCAGATTGCCAACAGTATCTAAATCATAAATTTTTGAAATAATAAATGTGAAAAGAACAGAATTATCATAAAAAGAATCACTAAGTGTGACCTTAAACTTCCCGTACGTGGAAATATTTACAAATTATTGTCTACTAACTTACGTAATTATTTATAATTTGTTTTTAAATAATCTAATAAACATACTTATGGCAATCATCCCATGAACTGAAGTTTCATAGCAGCACCAACAGCAGCAGCAGCAGCAGAAGAAGAAGAAGAAGAAGAAGAAGAAGAAGGAGGAGGAGGAGGAGGAGGAAGAGAAGGAGGAAGAGAAAGGGGGCTGAAGTTATTTAAAAAGTGGGTATACGTTAAAACTTTTTAAAAAAATAAATATAGGTTAACTGGGGGCGACTAAATAGGGCGCCCGTGCAATTTTTACTAAATCTTCAGCTTTCAACCCTCTTGGATGCTCTATTTAGTTTTCCTTTCTCAATCGAAGAGAAAAGAGACGATGACAAGTGCTTAATAAATCAATTAATTGATTAACAAGCATGAATGTTTACAATGATTCTATAACACTATTATAGAATTATACGTAAAATAGACCAAATAATGTAATAATATTCGAGTTGGACAATCCGAGTTAAAAGTGATATTGTTAGTTACAATGGTAGATAAGAATAATTCAAAGCAGACAGGTTAGATATAGTACTACCATAGTACTACTAATTTACCCTAAATAATTTGTATTGTACGTAGAATCATTTACCTACATATCCCATATATTCCAAATAGTAACACTTAAACTTCTTGTATTATAAAATGTTACATCAATAATAATACCATTAATAATATTCTATTTGTTTATCTTATCAAACGAAATTTTTTAGTTAATAGTAATATAAGAAAAAATATTTTCGCTGACGATTTACCTCTTTCTTTTACCTTTTGTATTATATACTTTTATAAGCTTCCTAGTTAATTAGTAGTTTTCTAGTTGTTTAGTGCTAATTAGAAAATTAATATCTGCGAAAAAAAATTAGAAAATCATTCTATTGGTTAAAAGAACATACGTGTGAGAAGCTATTACCTTGTCCAAAAATATCATACAATAAGGAATACGCACGATGATAAACAACGATGCAGTGACATGAGAACGATGGTTCATTCCTTATATTTCAAAAATAATGACTCCACTGTATATATTTTGAGCAACCAGCTACTGTACAATATATTTGGAATGAGAAAGTCATGATTTATAAGCCAAGTAAACAACCTTCCAACAATATGATGTTAACTTGTTATATTATCATTAGAAACCCAACAACTTTATTCTTAATCATGTATAAATGTTATACGGTTAAAGAACCATGCTCTTATAATTATACTAATATCATACCATGTTTAATAAGCATGACAAATGTTTTATGTTCGGTCAAACATCATAAAAAGACGGATGAAATTGTATTGGGTAAAATTGGTTTATATTAAATGATCGAATGGTAGCGTGAGACGTGGAACCGAAGACAGGCAGAAGATAAATTGAGTTATAACCGGTACCGGGAACAACACGTGCAATTGGCATCGGATGGATCCCGAAAGGAGCACAATCAATGTGAGCGGGTCGGATGTTTGTCACCGGATGACATTCAATGAAGAATATTCTCTAGCATTAAATGGATAGCCGGCGAAATATTTACATTCATGACATACTGTTACATATTCATCAATGACCCCTTTATTGTCATTTAAGAGGGGCTTGATCATATGATCTTGTTTCTCTAGGTATAGCTATAACTAGAAGATTCAACCGCCATTGTAACACATGAAATTCTTGGCACAACTTATGCTACATTCTATTCTGAAGCACAATAAAATAACTTTATTCGCATAAAGAAATAATAATATGTACTACATATGTACTACATTCTTTAATATCCATCTTTAAGACTACATTGACGTGCTAAGGGGTTAAGATAAGTGGCCTTTGTGTTGTGTGCAATTTTTTGAAGATGTTTTTTCAAAAAAAAAGTTTCAAAACTATTTTAAGAGGGGAAAAAATTGTAGTGAGGAATAAGTACTGTGAGACTTTTTTTTTAAATCTGAAAAAGTTATTATTTCACTCATAGAACACTCACAAATATTTATGAAGTTTATAAACTATCCAACACGTCCAACCTTTTCTTTCAAAATCTTTTTTCCTTCGTACAAATCTTTCTACAGTTCTGCAATCATGATTCATGGGTAGAGGTGAAAGCCCGTTATGGGTTCGATCCTAATAAATTTTGTTCAAACATTATAATTATATTAAATTTTTTATTAAAACTAAATATATAATAAATTTATAATTTAATAATAAATATTTAATCAAACATCGGTCCGTTTGTGAAAGGAATCGAGGGATGAAAAAAGTTGACCCTTGATGACGTGGACCCACATAAGAATCGATTATACTGAATTCCAAGTAAGATTACGAGAGACCCTGGTCAGCCCAGCCCACCCAGGCCCCCCACACTTATATATATATATTCAAGCAATCAACTCCTTTTCTTTACTCAATCTCCCTCTTCAGACACAAAAAAACGGCGGCGCCAGTTGAGAGTGGTGCTGTGGGCCCAATGTCAGAACAACCCAAAAAAGCTCTTTTCAAGCACAAATCATGGTCTCCTGACATTCAACGTGAAGAAATTTGGCTCAAACGTAAGAGAACTAACCGTATGCGCCTCGCCGCCATCCGCCGTTCCATGAGCCTCCCCGCCGCTGCTGCCGCTGACGACCGTCGTTCAACGAGCGTCACCGACGAGGACGTCGAAGAACTCCGTGCTTGTTTTGAGTTAGGATTCGGGTTTGACCCGTCGGATGATTTGGATCCGAAGCTTACGAAAGCTTTTCCCGCTTTGGAGCTTTATCAAGCTGTGAATAAGTTATCCAGATCTTCTTCTTCGGTTTCGACGGTAGCTTCCGATTCATGTGAAACTCCGTCCTCAGTTAAAAGCTCCGTTTCCATTGTTGAACCAGGTGCGTAAAAAAAAAAAAAATTCACACAGAGTTTAGCTCACGTGATTTTAGCTATATATTCATGTTTTTGAATTCTTAATTCTTTTTTGTAAAGGTGATGATGCGGAGACAGCGAAGATGAGGCTGAAACAATGGGCACAAGTGGTGGCACTTTCAGTGCGTCGATCACCTTCCTTCTAATATTTTCCTTTTTTGGATATACTTCGGAAGGAAGAAATTAAACTGGTATTTAGAATTTAAAGTTATTGATATTCCATATCAGAATTAAATATCACTAGATTCGAAACTCTCTGTTGTAAGAGTAGATGCAAACAAGATGTATAAATATATATATCTGTTTGAAATTGTTCAATTATATAAAAATGGAACTGAATGCTTATTTACTTTGGACATCTGTCTATACATGGTTGAGGTATTATTTTTTTCTGGTAACCTAGCTATTAGAACCTTTTTTTCCCTTTTAACTTCTCCTTGTTTTATATCTTAATCATGGAATACATTGCATGGGCGAAGAGAAAAGAGAGGAAAGAACATGCAAATAGTGAAACTTAAAATGTACACGGGCTGTGGCGGAGTGGTAAGTACTCCTTTATCAACCAGAGGTCTCGTCTCGAGTTCGAGCCCCTGGGTATGGAGTCGCCTTTGTTAGGGAGCACTTTACCCCCAGCCCCTGGGTATGGAGTCGCCTTTGTTAGGGAGCGCTTTACCCCCCAATGTGGGACTTCCTGGCACGAATCCGGATTAGTCGGGCCCCAATGTGGGTACTGAATAGCGGGTGAGAAATAAAAAAAAAACTTAGATATACACTTATTGCCTGAAAAAGTCATAATCTCATGAAAAGTTTTGGTTTGGGCAATTGGCCTAGACATAACTATGAATTAAAGACCCTTTTTCTTGTTGAGCCAAAGTGATAAGTCTTGTAATTGATATATAGACATTAATTAGTGTTTTCCCAAATTAATTTCCTTAGTTCTCTTATTTTAGAATTGAAATACATGTTTCTGCCGTAAACTAAAATATTACATATATACCCGATCAACTTTTGAGCTTGATTTTTTGATGTAATTAAAATTTGTGAGTATTTGGTTAATAATTAAACTACAGGTTCTTCTTTGGAGAAGTGGTTGATACACAATCCTGAAAAAGAGTAGTATGTTACTGGAATATTTAATTTATTGTACCAATGATCACATGTCAGATTATAGTAATATAATTACAATGCAAAATTCTCGTGATCTTTTGTTGATTCTTAAATGTTCTAGTGGTTTTTCATTGAAAAAAGTAACCAATCATTCGCATGATCTAGAATGTCCTTAAAACTTCCGTCTAATGATTTTCTTGGACATGAAATGCTATAAAAATATGCCTGGGCTAGAATGTTCTGAACATCTCCTGAGAAATTCATCGATATATATATATATATATATATATATATATATATATATATATATATCGATCTTCATGATTTTAATTAGTAGTAAAATAATAACTTCTCTTCACCAGTATTATTTATAAAGATAATTAATTTTATGCACATTATTTTATTTATAATACTCTCAGGAGTATTAATGTCGATCTTATATAGCAATATTTCACAAATATTGATGACGTAATCCACTCTTGATATAGGGTAATGTTGATATTGAGATTGGGAAATCAATGGCAAACTCATTTTCTCGAAATTGCAAGATAGAATCACACAGAAATGATTAATGAATAGTTTAATGGTTATATATATATGGTATATTTTTCTCTTTCCCTTAAATTGAAGAAGAACAAAATTTGGCTTAAATAAACTCTCTTCAGGTATTTTGATGCTTTGGTTTAGAAAGTTATAGTAGGGTCTAAGATTATTAATACCGATCGAAATCTTGAGAATTAATATATCATTTTGATTTACAACAAGAGTTAATTTCACATAGAGACTCACAAAATTCTTGTTTATCACATGATTTAATTCATTGAACTTTACCCACTGCATATAACATAAAGTCACAAAACTTTTGCCCAACTAAATCTATCGTTTGTTGACAAGAAATAATAATCCCGCCCAGGAATAATATCCACGGTAAATAACAATAACACAAGAGAGTAACAACGACACCAAATATTTTAACGGGATAAAATACAATACCCCAGCGGAGTAATATTACCACTATAATATTACAACTTAGTAGTGTCAAGAGACTACTACAACTTTGAAAGAAATAACACCCTTTATTTTAAACACCTCACTACAATATTACTCTCACTCACTATTTATTTCACAGACTACACTCTGTGGATTACTCTCTGTTGCTTCTCTCAATTTGGTGTGTTTACAATGAGAAATATAGTTGCTATTTATAGTAATAAATGGCCACCCAAGTAACCAACTAGATTGTTTGGTTTGTTGCAAGTTGTAAGATGGGCAACGCCCAAAACCAATTCCAAATTGGTTTTGCAAATTGTTCTGCAGAGCCCACCATTTGCTTTTCTTTCAACCAATCAGTATTTTTCTTTTTCTTCTTTCTTTACTTATTATTTGAGGACTGGACCCCACAAATCTCTCCTTTAATTTTGATTTTTCTTCTTCATTCCAAGTCTTGATCTAAATCTCTGAAAATCTTCAAACTTGAGAGGCTTTGTAAAGATATCTGCAACTTGATCACGAGACTTCACATATCTGAGCTCAACTTCCTTCTTGGCAATGCTTTCTCTGATGAAATGATACCTTGTATCTATATTCTTGCTTCGATCATGATACACTGGATTCTTCGCGACTGCCTGTGCGGATTTGTTGTCAATACAAATCTCTATAGCTTCAATTTGTGGTAAATTGAGCTCCTTCAATCTCAGTCAAATAGCATGACATGTACAAGATGTTGCTGCTATATATTCAGCCTCACAAGTCGAGAGAGTAACAATTGATTGTTTCTTTAAACTCCAAAAAATAACAGAATTACCCAAGAAAAATAGAAAACCAGTTGTACTTTTTCTATCATCAATATATTCCGCATAATCACTATCACAAAATCCCATAAGACTGAAATCACTAGAAGAAGAATAAAATAACCCAAAGTCAATCGTACCTTTTAGGTAGCGAAGAATTCTTCTAGTGACTTTCAAATGAGTGGAGGTAGGAGCTTCCATGAAACGGCTTACTACTCCAACTACAAAGAGTATATCTGGCCTGGTACAAGTCAAGTACCTCAAACTTTCCACAAGACTTTTGAAAAATGTGGGGTCCACCTTTTCTCCTTCATCAAACTTGGACAATTTTATCCCACTCTCCATCGGTGTGTTCACGGGGTTGCAATCGAGCATGTTGAACTTCTTCAATATCTCTTTTGTATAGATTTCTTGAGAGATAAAAATTCCATCCTCCATCTGCTTCACTTCTAGGCCCAGGTAGTATGACATGAGCCCTACGTCTGTCATCTCAAACTCACGGGACATATCTTTCTTAAAAGCTTCAAACAAACTTGAGTTATTGCCCGTGAAAATAAGATCATCAACATAAAGACAAACAAGTAAGATATTTCCATTAGTATGAACTTTAAGGTAAAGAGCATATTCATGGAAACAACGAGTAAACCCATTGTCTTGAAAATATTTGTCGATGCAACTATTCCATGCTCGTGGGGCTTGCTTTAATCCATATAAAGCTTTCTTCAACCGCAACACTTTATCTTCATGGTTTTTTTACCACGAAGCCCAATGCTTGTTCAACATAGACTTCTTCTTCAAGATAGCCATTCAAGAAGGATGACTTGACATCTAGTTGATGGATCTTCCACTTCATTTGCGCCGCCAAAGAGATCAACAAACGAATCATCTCCATGCGGGCAACAGGTGCATAGACTTCTTCATAGTCAATGCCTTGCCTTTGCTTGTAGCCTTTAGCCACAAGTCGTGCCTTGTATTTCTCCACATCTCCATCAGCATTCTTCTTTATTTTGTATACCCATTTCACTCCAATTGCTCGATGACCCGTGGGAAGAGTTATTAACTCCCAAGTGTTGTTCTTCTCTATTGACTCAATCTCTCCTCCATGGCTTGCTCACTTTTGTTGTAACAGATTCATCAAAGTTCATTGGTTCACTGTCAGCAAAGAGACAACATAAAAAACTCAAAAATTGTAAACTCTTCTGTG